TCTTGGTACTGGGGATTTAACCCAGGGATACTTAAGCACCTAGCCACATCCCCAGCTGTTTTTTAAATATTTTACTTAAAGACAGGGTCTCGCTGAGTTGCTCAGAGCCTAAGTTGCTGACACTGGCTTTGAATCCATAATCCTCCTGCTTATCCTCCCGAGCCAGGCCATCCCCAGCCCTTTTTCTTATCTTTTTATTTTTATGGTTAATTATTTTCAGAACATAATTTTAATAATAAATACCTCCACACATTTAGGAAGCTCCTCTAGGATCCTGGTGCCTTGCTCTTCTCACTACACCCCTCCCCTATTCGGGCCAAGGGCCCCACAAGGCTCTCCACCCACATCCATGGGCTCACCTACACCTCCTCCTCCCCCTCCCCCATGCACTGCCCCACCCTGTGGTCCCCTATCGCCTCTCCAGCCAGAGCACCCACCTCCCAGACCACCCCTGCACACTGGCTTCCCCACCTGCGGCCCTCCTCACTGCTCCAGGCTGGGGCACCAGGGGAAAACAGTCCATGAAGGCCACCAGAAGAGTTGTGGAAGCCCAGTGGCCACTATGGCAGGGCCAAGTATAACCTGGGCACCATGGAGAGGATGGCGACTCCACCTCCCAGGACGGCAGCAAGGACAGGGACAGGAGCAGCGGAAGCCCTGGGATTATATGCAGTCTTCTTTTTTATTCTGAGACAGTTTTGCTAAGTTGCTTAGAGCCTTGCTGATTTACTGCGGCTGGCCTTTAACTTGTGACCCACCTGCCTCAGCCACGCGAGTTGCCAAGACCAAAGGTGTGCACCACTGCCCAACACCATCTATGTCTTCATAGCTTTCTGGGATCATGCTGTGGTTTTATAACACACAGTTCCAAATTGTCTGTTATCAGTAATTATTTCCTCAGCTCATTCACCCTTGCCCATTCTATGCCATGCTGATTACTGGTAACCAAAAAGTAAAAGTAACTTTTACCAGGCTGGCACTTCTGTCCCTGATAAACAAAATGCAGGTGGTCACAGGACCTCATTCTAGCACTGGGAGAATGGAGGACTCGTGTGTCCCTGAGAAACCACTGCTGGCTGACCTGAGAAAGATGAAGATGGCTTTGCAGTAGGACACCCCGTCCACCTGCTCGTAGTAGTCTAGGAAGGGCTTGATGGCATCGATGATCCCGGGGTGCAACTTGTCCATCTCGTCAAATATGAAAACCGAGCTGGCGCAGGCACTCACGTTTCCACGGATCCACTTCTGTAGCTGCTCCTAGACAGACCATGAAAGAGGTGGCAGAGGCTCAAAGGCTACACCCAGGGAGCCCAAGCACTACCCTGTTCCTCTGCTCTAAAGGACCAAGGAAGGGGTTCCTGGGGCTCTGTCACCTTTGCAAACCATCAGAAGTGTAAAGGGTAGGGGGGCGCCTGGGGTTGTGGCTCAGTAGAGCGCTTGCCTAGCACGTGCGAGGCCTTGGGATTGATCTCAGCACTACAAGAAATAAATAAATAAAGGTATTGTGTCCAACTACAACTAAAAAATAAATATTAAAAAATAAGGGGCTGGGGATGTGGCTCAAGCGGTAACGCGCTCGCCTAGCATGCGTGCGGCCCGGGTTCGATCCTCAGCACCACATACAAACGAAGATGTTGTGTCCGCCGAGAACTAAGAAAAAATAAATAAATGTTAAAATTCTCTTTAAAAAAAAATAAATAAATAAGGGGCTGGGGATGTGGCTCAAGTGGTAGCGCGCTCGCCTGGCATGCGTGCGGCCCGGGTTCGATCCTCAGCACCACATACAAACAAAGATGTTGTGTCCGCTGAGAACTAAGAATAAATATTAAAAGTTCTCTCTCTCTCTCTCTCTCCTCTATCACTCTCTCTTTAAAAAAAATAATAAATTAAATAAATAAATAAATAAACTATTGGGCCAGGGCTGTGGCTCAGCGGTTGAGCACTTGCCTCCCATGTGTGAGGCACCAAGTTCGATCCTCGGCACCACATACAAAAAAATAAATAAAAGATATTATGTTCATTTACAACTAATAAAATATTTAAATAAAAATTATTTATGTTAAAAAAAAGTGTAAACTGGCACAAAGATAAATGCTGAGTTGCAAAGACATTTTTCCTACCTCAAATGTCATGCTTTGACTTCTTAAGGGTCTAAGAGGTAGAAGACATAGGAATATTTATCCTTCCTGTTGACCACCCCATAGTTTTCACCTCACATTTGAACAAAACCTCCAGTCAATATTGCCACATACACTGAGGAATAAGGTACTAGATTAAGGCTGTTTAGTCTTAGATTAAGACCAAGACCCCAGACTAAAGCAGAGAACTGACCTAGATGACATTTCATGAAAAGTCTGTCCCTATGCTGCTGGCTTTTTTTTTTCCTTGTGGTGCTAAGGATAAAGCCTAAGGCTCCTGGCACACTAGGCAAGTGCCCTACCACTGCTCCTCACCCCCAGCCTCGAGGCTTTTCTTGAAACAAAAACACCCAACAAGTTCTCAAACCCAAAACATGAAAGAACTTGACCATGAACGCCCCCCGCCAGATACCCCTTCATCTATTTTGCCAGAGATTTACAATACAATTTTTTTTCTCTTTTTGCAAGAGATTTACAATACAATTTGAAAACAAGAAAATTATTTCTTCCTTTTGGCAATCTTCCCTGTCTTAAGAGCTTGAGTGGAAAATACTTTCACTTCCTAGTTCAGTTAAGTTTCTATTTCCCATTTTAGTTGGCACCTAACAGCAGGAATATTAACCTTAATAATGACACATTCACTTAGAAAACATTTAACACCTTAAATGTGGAAAGAATATCTCAGAGAAACACTCATGAGGCTTTCTTTGAGCCAAGACAAGGACTTGAAGGTCGAGAGAAACAAGGTATAAAAACCATTTAAGAGGGGAAAAAAAAATCCTCTAGTCTACCCTTGCAAAATGCAGGGGTACAGCTGAGGCCCCTGGGGGGACAGGGAGCATTAAAGGAGGCCAGGACCATGCTAGCCATTGAGACTATGCACTCACTGTAGAGGGTAGCTAGCAGGTAAAGTGGGAGCTGGGAGGTTTGAGTTTAAGCTTTTTGGGGCCCAAAGGCCACAAATATTTTGAGGAGCAAGTCACCTTGCCTCTCTTGGCTCCATCTTTTAATGGGAATTACATCACCTACTCTGCTGGACTTCTAAGGAGAGATTTACAGGAGATCTTCCTAACCCCCTGGACTACATGGAGCCTTAACTCTGGGGCTGTTGTGATGCAAAGACAAGAGGGGGCCAGAGTTAGCAGGCAGGTCACCCAGGCCACTCTGAGCACCCTGCGAGGAGGTAAGGGTGGGTTCTCTTACTTGGTACAGTTTAATCTTCTGCTCATGAGGGAAGTGCAGAGTTGATACAAACAGGTGGACAAAGTTGCTCTTCAGGCCTTTTGGGTGAAGATTTTCAGCCACAATTTGACTGACAAAATTCTTGCCTGTGCCAGCCCAGCCATGCAAGGACAGGGTCAGTGGTTTCTTGGGGTTTTTGTTGTTCTTGAAGCCAGTCAGCGCCTTGAGAATCACTTCCGTGGCCAGATGCTGTCCAAACAGCTTCTGCTCCAAATCCAACTTGAGGGCTGCGGGAGCCAGGCCCCGGACAGAGAGAAAAACACACGTTAAAAATGCATCAGAGAAGCGGCACTTTCCCAGCTGACCAAAGCGAGAGGCAGGCTCAGCGAGCGATCCGGCAGCGACTCTGCCCAGCCGGGAGCCAAGGCTGAGGCTGACCCGCAGGGGCTGGAGCCAAGTGATGCCACCGCCGAGGAAGTGCATTAGGTGGCGGTTCTGCTTAGCCCTACGCGTCTGACCAGGAAGCTAGATGGCCTCTTTCATCCAAGGTCGG